ATGAGTGAGTCTATACAATAGTATAGACATAGTATAAACAATAGTATAGCATTGTGCAACAAGTGCGAGAAGTTGACATTCACGTGAATCGCATATACTATTTTTCATTACACATGCGTCGAAAGTGGCTCTTTCTTACATTTCCTACGGTGCAATGAGTGGCCGCACCGTGCGAAAAGGATCGAGCTACTTCCGATGCACATGTAATGAAAATATACAAATTTGGGACATTGCGGATTTGATTGAGTTGTGCCGTCTACCTTCTGGATAGTAAATTCACTACAAAATAATATAAATAAAAGAGAAGAAACAATATCTGATTATATTAAAGCATAATACTTTTCGAAAAGCAGTCTGTTCTTCATTTAATATTTGTCCCGAACAGGACAAATGTGAAATGAGGTTTTTATACCAATTATTGCGTCAGATAATTTGGACTTCTTCATTGCTAATTTCTTTTTTTGTCCAGTCCAGGTGTATCCTAGCGCAACCTCGTATCCAATAGTGTGAGACATGATGTTTCTAACAACTTTTGATACGGATTCTCCGCCTAATGTAGATATTTTGTCCATCTGTAACAAATGAACATTTATTAGATATGTACGCGGGCACGTGTGTGCGTATGTGTGTGTGTACATGCGTATACGCTTGCGTGCAATGTAATGTATTATTGGTTTAATTGTTTTTGATTATTTAATATAATAAATTATTTAATTTCTATAAATGTAATTAATTAAAGCTGTCAACGTGACATCATTATTCAAAGCTATAAGCCTTTCAATTTGCAAATAATAAAATATATACTTACAAATTGCTTCCGAACATTTACATTCTCCAGTTGTATATTAAAATTATTTATTTGCTCTACACTAGTGAGGGGAAAATTCGGCAGGAGAGATAAATCCACCTCTTGCACAACATTTACTTTGTCAATTTCGAGAAAATGAATAATCCTATTGAGCTTGCGCTCTAATGTCGCAAATTTTGCAAAATATGTTCGCTGACATTTTTCTGTAAAAAAAAGCAAGAAGCACACAATTAAAAATAAAATAAAACTGAAAAAATAAACATGAAACAAACTTAAAATTGAATTTATTTATCGAATTCAATTAATTATTAATTATTATTACATCTACTAGTAGTCAATAAGTAAAACAAAATGTACCACAACAAAATGAGTGTTCCAGCTCTACCCTAGCTTCATTTTCAAAATTGTCATTATTCTGTAATTGCAATCCATGTGTGTTTGTGGAAGGCAGATTTGTTATATTTGTTGGCTCAGCTAAACCGTGAAAACAATTGTAAGAAATATATATTGTTAATATTAACATTAGTAATCAGGAGCTTTTTAAAATGAGAGGAAAATGACAGTTTCAAGCATATCGTGTGATGTTGAAGTTGCTTTCTTTAGTAGCACATTTTCAATTATTTTTGGCATCTCTGTAAATAAAAAAAAATATATATATTCTGTAAATAAATATATATATATATATATATATATATATAAAAGATTTGTTGTTCATTATTATCAAATTTGTATTAATAATGTAATGATTTGAAATATACCTTTTACAGTTTTTGGTTTTTCTTGATAATCATTGAATGACATTGATTGATGCGTTTCTAAACAGCAAAGAACTATTCGAGTTAGAAAATATGTCAAAACAGTTCACTATGCTTTAAAAACATAAATTCTCTGCTAAAGTAGTGAATTTGTATTTTAAAAGCATTTTTTAACGCAGTGAACCACTTTGATTTTCACGGCTTTCGGGCATATATAAATTCGCAGTAAATAAATTTAGTGCGGAAAATAGTTGAATACATTTAAATTTATAAATCCTTAAACACACGAATATAAAATACAATCTATAAATTGGGTAGTCTTCAGTAAAAGAGAACAAATTCTCTATAGGATGTAAATGTTGATGTACTAGAAAGTAAAGAATTTACAGCAACGCGTAGCTTTTACAGAAGGATGATTTCTTGACATATCATGAAATCGATGCAAAGATGAAGTTCTCCGTCTGTCATCAAATCAAATCGTGAAGATATAAATGGACATGTAAATCGTATTTGCGTAGAACTTACACGGAAACATACACACGCACAATAATTCTCCCGCTGAAAATCGTTCAATTTCCGCGACGACGTCCATGCTATCGCAGGAAGAAAACAACCCGGTGACGATGAGGCAAAAGTTAATGAGAAACGCGCCTGCCAAGGAGGAGACGAGGTCATTCCTAAACTTTTCGCGGGAGAACTTGAGCATCTCACTCTCCGACCTCGAACAAGGGTTCAACCGGTCGCGGCTCATAAGACCGAGCAAAAACACGATCCTGAGCGTGACCGCACTTATAGCTGCTGTTCTCTGTCTCGGCCTTCAGAGTTGGAAAATGTTGTCAAACACACGCGAAATTGAGCAGCTGAGAAGAGACGTGAATATCTTGAAGCATCGGTTTCTGGAGCAGGATCTTATGGACGAGCTAAAGGCCTTCGAGGAACAGGTAGGTCCTTACAGTAAGTAAACAAATTGGCGAGCATGATTGCTGAATTTGTCCTATAGTTATTCAGAAAAAGAAAAGATAAATTGCATTTTTTTATCCTGTTTGCTATTACTGAAATTTTGTAATATTTAATGCGACTCGTGACGTGCACAAGAAAAGCAATAAGTTATAAAAATTTTTCATCGTTTTTAGACCTCATATGGACCGTTTTTAGCCCGTTTTTAGCCCGTTCTTGCTCGTTTCTTGCACTCGCAAGCACTCGCAGTGTATCATGAAGGAACGATAATGAGTACACACGAGTGTGCAATGAGTATTTTTAAGGAGATTGTCCGTTTTCAATACTCGCTTTTCCGCTGATGAACGACAAACGTATACGCGAGTATTTTTGAGTGAATCGTTCGTTTTTAATACTCGTTTTTCCGCTACGTGTATTTTTGAGTGGATTGTCCGTTTTCAGCTGATGAGTGAGAACACGTTAATACGACATTTCTCTTTTATTCGTACATTTACTTATCATTTATTAATTATCATATCATAATATAATTTCAAATAAATTAAAATAGAAATTATATAATAATTCATTATTTATTATTGTATATATCGGGAGACGCGGTAGTGTCTCCGGCCATGTTAAAAAAAAGTGTATATATTATTTATATATACACACACATATGTACGAGGGTCTGAAAAGTTTTGATCCTCATCATGAAGATGGCGTTACTCGTCAAAGCCATTCTGGTATTATAACCGTGATACTTACGAAAGATATCTGTGACAATTGTGGCCACTTTGGACGTTCAGTTCTTGTTTGATAATCATTTGTATCGTCATTTTGTAAAAATGGAAAAAATTGAATATCGTGCTATAATTAAATTCTTGCATTTGAAAGGCAATACGTCTACGCAAATTAAAACCGAGTTGGACGCTGTTTACGGGGACTCTGCCCCATCATTTGCCACCGTGAAAAGATGGGTAGCTGAATTTAAACGTGGTCGTACCAGCTGATGATGAGCGTTCGGGACGGCCGACAACTGCGACCACTACCGATAACATCGAAGAAACTCATGAAATGATAATGGACAACCGTCGAATTAAGATTAGGGAGATGGCATATCAAAAGAACGTGTTTGTCATATATTGACTGAAGAATTAGGCATACGTAAATTAACCGCGCGTTGGGTACCGCGCTTGCTCACTCTGGATCAAAAACGCATTCGAATAAACATTTCTAAGACCCTGTTGGAGCGGTTTAAGCGAAACGAGTCGGATTTTTTGCGTCGATTAATAACGGTTGATGAAACTTGGGTCCACCACTTCACTCTTAAAACGAAAGAACAATCAAAACAGTGGACTGCGAAGGGTGAACCTGCTCCGAAGAAAGCGAAGACGGTTTTATCGGCGGGAAAGGAAATGGCGACTGTTTTTTGGGACAGTCATGGAATTGTGTTGATCGACTGTCTTGAAAAAGGTAAAACAATAACAGGGACGTACTACGCATCATTGCTTGACAAGCTGAAGGCAGAAATTGAGAAAAAACGACCGCATTTGAAAAAGAAGAAAGTGCTGTTCCATCAAGATAACGCACCGTCTCACACTTCGGCGATCGCTATGGCAAAAATTCACGAATTGCGGTTCAAATTAATTGACCATCCACAGTATTTACCAGATCTGGCCCCCAGCGACTTTTTTCTGTTTCCTAGGCTCAAAGTTTGGCTC